ACTATAATTGTTTTGTCCAATTCACGAAGTGTAGAAAAAGAATAGTGTTGTCCTCTAATACTAAAACTCAGTTTAAGTACTTTTATTCTCTAAGCCCCCGTTTGAGCCTCATTTAAACCAAAAAAAAAAAAAAAAAATTAAACTTATTTTCATTCAAACATTCTCTTATTAAACGAATTTTATAAGTAAACTCAAAAATTTTTATTTTTTCTAATCACACGTTCTCTAAAAAGACAATTACAAAATTCATTTTCACCAAAAATGGTCTTTAAGTAGGAGTTAAGTAAAATGCAACCTAGGAGGGCCAAATATTTTTGTTGAAAATTGGTTTTATTAGTTGGTTTAGATCAACGTTGACAAATTATTTAAGCAGAACCCATAAGTCGGATACGAGAGTTTTTGGGCCAAATATATTCTACTCCACGAGTAATAATCATAGAATGTTTAGTTCTTTGAAACCTTGTTTTGCTCTTCAAAATCGTTTTTTAGTGAATGAGAAATTAAAGTCAAATGTAAGAATTGGGAAACTTGGAACACATCGGAATTTTAGAATTGGAAATGATGGATATTGGCTAATAATTCAGAAATGGCTTTAGAGAAGAACAAAGTAAATTTGATGTAGTGATGTGTCAAAATCTAATCTCGTAGGGGATCTAATAGAAATGTGATCATTTTCTATTTATTTTTAATTTTAAACTAACTATTGACCTTCAAAAAATAATAATCACATGCAAACAAAATCATGTAAACCGCCACAATTGAATAGTGTTGTCAATGGTCAGTCTACGAAGTGTAGAAAAAGAATTAGATTGTATATTGTGGCGTATACAAAAGAAGTTGTTCTCGTTGGCCATTTCGATGCAAAGAACGCGTAGAAGATCATGAATGCGACAACTTTCCACTCTTCCATCCAAATTTATCTCAGAAACTTGGATTAAATTTCTGTCACTTAACATTTCTAATTTAATTTAGAAAACAACAAGAAAAAAAAAATAGGGCATTTCTGATTTTAAAAAATTATAATATCAAATAATGGGGCCAAACATGTTGAAAGAGTGGGGATATATGAATAATGGTCGCCTAATCACTAAGGGTCGCCTAATCTGCTTACAATTTAGCGAATGAGTTACTTTCTTATTTTAACGAGATTCAAATAATTAGAGGGGGGATATACAATTTAGCGAATGGGTTAGTTTCTTATTTTAACGAGATTCAAATAATTAGACGAAAAG